AGTAAATCGGTCTAGACTCATCAGTTCTCGGTGATTTTTAACAGTAAATTGGGAGAATGGACATGTGGCAGCCCCGGGATTTGTCCGTTCTCAGTGATTTTTAACAATAAATCAGGAGAGTGGACACATGGCAGCCTTGGGGAGCAACACGTAGCACGAGGGAAGGCTTACATGTGGCGGGCGAGTGGACATGTGGTAGACTCGTCGGTTCTCGCGATTTTCAATAGTAAATTGGGCAAGTGGACACGTGGCAACCTCAGGGAGCAACACATAGCACGAGGGAAGGCTTACATGTGGCAAAACCTCATGCCTACCAAAATGCAACGCGTGGTACTTCGCCCCTGTGCTTTCACGAGCACGCAATGCGGTCTATTTCACAGCTATTTATAGATCAACATAATACACTCGTCCTTCGATGTGGGACTGATATAAAAGTTGAGGCGGTAATATAATCTATATATTTATTATGGAAAGAAAGCATCATGCAAAGATGTGGTGCAGTTGGTTAGCTCTTTTTATTTTAGCGTACGTCTCACAAGTTTGAAAACAATCGTGCGCTATTTAGAGCTTTATTTTTATTTTTTTAAAAAAATAAAAGGAAAAAATAGTTTTGTAAAAAAAAAAAAGAAAAAAAAATAAAATAAAAGGTAATACAACAAGCATTTCTTGTAAAGAAAAACAAACAATACAACATATTTTTATTTTTCTTGTTAAAAAAATAAAAAGTAATATAACAGGTATTTCTTGTCAAAAATAAAATAAAGGGTAATACAACAATTAAAAAAAATATAGTCGAGTATGATTATATACTTTATCCATAATAATTCTATGATTTTTCTTTTGTGTGATGTAAATTTAATGGTTAACAAAAATTCATACAGGAAAAGAACATCTCAATATTCGCATATTGATGAAGAAAATGAAAGTTAATAATATGGTACCCCCAGTTTTTATTGGATTCCTAAAAAATAACAATTATAATGAATTTTAATAATTTTTTTGGATTTTTTTTAAGGATTAATCTGATCGATTCGGCCGATTTTCGATCCGGATCGTCGATTCACCAATCCGGATGGGTTTTTGCGGTGCCCGATCTAGGGCACCGATCTTTTTTTTAAACCACTGATTGGGACTACAGACCTTTTCAAGATAAGCGTGCTGGTGACTGCGATGTTCGAAAACTCGCCGAGTCGAACCAGACTCGTCCTTAGCTTTGGTGATTGAACTGGTTTGACTCAGGAATCGGTAACCCCGTGCGAGTTCCAGCAAATAACGGTGAAACGCCCATGTCTAGAGAGAATCGGGCGATTCCGAACAGGATTCGTCCTTAGCTTTGGTGATTGAACTGGTTCGACTCAGGAATCGGTACCCCGTGCTAGTTCTAACAAATAATGGTGAAACGCCTATGTCTAGAGAGAATCGGGCGATTTTGAACAGCGAATCGCCCGAGTCACTTTAGCAGACACGGGTGAACAGTAAAAAGCAATATGTATCATCAAAATTTAGATTCTTTTGATTTTTTTTTTCTTTTACATGGTTTGGATCGAATATTTCACGCTTTATCTTTAACTTTTTAATCTTATTGGTTGATATATTGTAGTTGAAAACTTGAGTTTAGATCACAAATCATCGGATTTGCTATTATTTTGGTCGATTACAAGTCTGATATGGGTTTGAAGTCACGATTACAGAAAAACAGGTAAGAATTTTTTGGCATTTAATCGGTTCTTTGTATTTGTTCATAGTATAGCAAATAATTTGATTTAATCAGATTTAGCAAATAATTTGTTGAGTATAGGGTTTTGATTCTTTACAGTGTCAGGTTGGGTCTGCGTTTTTATTTTTTTTCCGTCACTCGTTGGATTACAGAAGAAATATGTCACAATTTTTTATAAAATCAGAGGGTAATCACTCTTTATGATGTTATTAAGAATATTTGTAACTTATTTTCCATTTTTTAGTCGATTTGTAGTGGATTTTCGATTTTGAGTCACGGTTTTGTGAAGAATAGTTAGGTTTTTTTTTTTTCCCACCAAGCTACAATTACAAGACGAATTGAATCACCATTATGAATTATTTCAGAGGGCTTTTTAAGGTAATACTGTTCTTCATATGATTTTGGGTGTAATTTGACTGATTAAGCAATTTTTATTGCTCGATTTCTTAAGAAATGGAGTTGTGGCTACGTTTTAAAAAAAAATGAAATTTTGATGATCAATTTTTTTGAAAATTCGTGATTTTCTAAAAAATTGTGAAAATCGTGACCAATTTTTTATTATCATGAGGAATTAGAACTATATTTTTCTATTTTATTGTTAAATTTTTAATGCAAAAAATTGTATGTTGATACATAAAATGTATGCATATTATTGATAAATATTTTATCATTATATTATCTTGAATGACTATATCATTGTAAATATTATTTGTGGCATGTATGTATATTCTTGGTATTAAATATATGAATATCATTGTAAAAAATCATGGCATGTATGATAATTATATTATCTTGCATTTTTCAATTGTATTGTTAAATTTTTAATACAAAAAAATGTAGGTTGATACATAAAATGCATGTATATCCTTGATAATTGAGTTGTAGGTATGTTTGGAGCTTGCATTTTTAATTATATTATCCTGCATTTTTGTAATTGAGTTGTAGGACTATGTGTGCTCATTTTAATCTTGGGACTGTGCCCACATATTGTTATATACTTGTTGGAAACTAATTTTAAAAGAGGTTTTGTAAGTAGGCTAGGCAGTGATATCATGAAAACCAGTGAATAAATTAACTTGCTTTTTTCAATGTTATTGTTAAATTTTTAATGCAAAAAAATGGATGTTGATATATAAAATGTATGTATATTCTTGATACATATTATTGTAAGTATTAGGAATGACTATATTATTGTAATTGTTTTTCTTAATTATAGGTGTTACTTATATAGACTCTTTTTATCTATAATGTTGCATAAATATTTTTTTTTCCCCAGTAAGAAGTAATTCCTACTTGTCAAAATGAAGATTTGTGCTGAGTCTAAATCTACTGGCATTGTGAATTACTATACCATTATAAATATATTTTTTATTGATACTAGACCATTATAGATTTTTTTTTTATATGTAGTGGTTGATACAGATTACTTTTATCTATAATGTTGCATAAATAAGTTATTTTTGCTAATAGGAACTAAAATATTTTTGCCAGTAGAAGTATTTTGTATTAACAACAAATATAACTTCATGAACTGCCCCTACACATTATCACTACACATGGTGATTATTTTTCATGTTGAATTGTTAGGTTAATTTTTAACCATTTAGGTCGTATTTTACGAATTGTATACTTTATTGTAGTTTATATATTATGATATACTTAATCCATGATAATTCTATGCATATCCCTTTCTGTGATGTAAATTAAGTGGTAAACAATAGTTTATGCATGGAAAAACATATCAATATTCGCATATTCATGAAAAAGAATGAAAAATCTTAATGGAGTACCCCCATTTCTTATTGGATTCCTAAAAAACAATATTTATAATGAATTTTCGGCCGATTCCCTATCCGAATCTTCTATTCACTGATCCGAATGAGTTTTTAAGGTGCCCGATCCGAGGCACTTATCCGTTTTTTAAACCACTGGGTGATTGGATTGGGACTACATTCCAAAGCTTGGTGAACTGGGTTAGATAAGTGAGTCGGCCGGTTGGGGGGCTACCCAACCGGTTTTCGATATATGATAGGAGCGATACTGACTTCGACGATTCCTGGTTGGGACCACAATCCTTTCAAGATAAAAAAGCTTGGTGAACTGGTTTAAAGCTTGGTGAACTGGTTTAGATCAGTGAGCCGGGCGGTTAACAGTCCTTTTAAGAAAAAAAAGCTTGGTGAACTGGTGTAGATCAATGAGCCGGCCAGTTAACAGTCCTTTTAAGATAAAAGAGCTCGGTGACCTGGTTTAGATCGAGCTTAAAAAAGCTTGGTGAACTGGTTTAGATCAATGAGCCGGCCGGTTAAGGGTGGGGGCCCAACCGGTTTTGATTTATGACAGGATCGAGATTGACTTTGACGATTCCTGTTCCAGATCAAACGATTTGATTTGGATGCCCAAAAAGTTCAATATGTAGTAAGGGAATTTGAGATATTTCAAACACGGCTCAAATATGGCTGGGTTGGACCAGCCTTTCCTAAATGGGGTATTTGGGCCCGATGCCCCAAGGCGATGGTGCCGTGGGCCTGGTTTTTGTGGCCCAGGAAAAAGTATAGGGCCCAATGGCCCGATCGTGTCTTCATGGCTGCTGGGGGCAATGTCAAGTGAGCTTGACCCAAGGCCATCCCTCCTATCCATCCATTGGTTAGATGGCTATAGACCTTTATGACCTTAAAATTTTCTACTGTCACATGGCCTTCGCCAAAATAAATATCTAACACAGGGCATTCACTAATAAAAGTACTAAGAAGCACACCGAAATTTCAATAGTTTTGGTACCTAGAATTTCGTTTTTTGGGCCCAAAATACTGAAGGTCCTCATCCTAATATAAAAAATACAAATTTTTTTTTGAGAAAGGGGCTTGGGTTGTGGTGGTAGCACCCAACAACTTAATCGTCACATGGTTTTTATTTCCACCATTAATAATTTAAAAAACCATTAATAATTTCAAATAGCAAATTCTTAATCTACTTGAAAAATTAGATAGGATTTGTCTTCCCCTCTAAATTACCAAAAAAAACAAAAATAAATTTTTTTTTTCAATATTGAATTCCTCGTGCTGAAAAGAAATCATTTATTAAAACTTTAAAAACAAAAAATAGTCTTCTTTGACCAAGCCCCAAGACCAAGCAAAGCAATTTTGGGAGGCCAACCCCACCAACCCACAAGAGAATTGGTGAAATTTGGTTTCAGGTTCAGTAGCCAACCCCATCCGAATTACTTAGAAACCCCAAGTTTTGGACTCTTTCCCACTCATCACCATAAAAAAAATTCCAAACCCAACACTCTGTAAGCTTTGTTTGTCTCTCATCCAAGAGACAACTACAAAACCCAGTTCTTTTAAAAGCTCAGTTTTCTTTTCAACAAAAGAAAATTAGAGAACACAGATACTCTGAAAGCTCTGTTTCAACCCTCAATCCTCAGAAAATAATTCTAAAATTTCGAACTTGTTGACTTTAGAAGCCTCTATGATTCTTATATATGCACCCCATCCATTCTGTACTCCTCAAAAAACCTGCTTGTATGCTCACTCTTCCATATACTACATAAGATCCTTCTGATTTTGATCTCTTCCTCTGCTTTTCTGGGTTCCAACAGGCCCATAAGGCAATCTTTCTTTCTCTACCTGAAATTCATCTCATTCTGATTGTTGGGTTCTTTGAATTGAGCCTATTCTTTCTCTCTCTACCTTAAATTGCCTCAACATCATCTGTTTCAGCATTTTGGGTCTTCAGAATTTTACTCTGGGATTCTTTTGGTACCATTATCTGTTATAGTGAGAGAGTAAACCACATTCTTTGATCAGTCATAACTTCATCTCTCTCTCTCTCTTGCTATCGTTGAATTCATGGAGAACACTCATGAAACCAAGTTTGAGCTCATGGTGAAGAAGGAGGAACCAACTCTGGTTCCACCAGTTGAGGAGAGAGAAAAGGACCTGTATTTTTTGTCAAATTTAGATCAGAACATTGCTGTAATTGTCCAAACAGTTTACTGTTTCAAAGATGAGAATAAGGGGAATGAAACAGCAAGCCAAGTAATAAAAGAAGCATTGGCCAAGATTTTGGTTGATTACTATCCATTAGCTGGGAGGTTAACTATCAGTTCAGAAGGCAAGCTTATTGTGGATTGTAGTGGAGAAGGTGCAGTTTTTGTTGATGCAGTTGCAGACTGTGAATTGAAGGATATTGGAGACATTACTAAGCCTGATCCTCTAACTCTTGGGAAGTTGGTATATACCATTCCTGGTGCAAAGAACATATTGGAGATACCCCCTCTGGTTGCACAGGTTTGTGCTCTCTCTCTTCCCCCCCATTAGACAGAACATGAGAATCGTGCTGAATTTGATCAGAAAGAAGCATAAGTCTCCATTTAATTTGATCAGAAAGAAGCATTAGTCTCCATTTCTTTTAGAATTCTAACTTTCAAGTCCCCCTTTTTCTGTTGTTTGAAGGTGACAAGATTCAAGTGTGGAGGATTTGTTCTTGGGCTAGCCATGAATCACTGCATGTTTGATGGATTGGGTGCAATGGAGTTTGTGAATTCATGGGGAGAAGCAGCAAGAGGCCTTCCCCTCACTATTAAACCATTCTTAGACAGAAGCATTTTGAAAGCCAGAGACCCACCCAAGGTGGAGTTTCCTCACGATGAATTTGAAGAGATCGAAGATATATCAAAGACTCATGAGCTGTATCAGCAGGAGATGCTTTATAGGTCCTTTTGCTTTGGGCCTGAACAGCTTGATCACATCAAGGCCATGGGCATGGAGGGGGGAGGACTGGAGAGGTAGAGCTCTGTTCTTTTTTCTGCTTTTGCTTATGTTTGTTATGAATAGTTGAACAAGAGAGAGAGAGAGAGAGAGAGAGAGAGAGAGAGAGAGAGAGACTTTTCTGTTTTCTTTATTTTGTTTTTTGTTCGAGAGCTTAGGTGTGGGTTTGTTTTTAAGTACTACGCAGTTAAACAACCCAAGGAAAATGGTTTTTCAGAACTATGCAGTTAAACAACCTAGGGAAAATGGGAAAAGGGCTGGGGTTTAACCTAGGGAAAATGGTAAAAGGGCTAGGGTCTTGGGGTAGCACCCCTCATACTTCAGCTACATGTTGTGGCTTTTATTTTCATTAATGCCATAAAAACGTACAAACCGTTTAAAAAATGAGTAGGGACATATATTCCCTACTAAATTATCTAATAGAAAAAAAAAGAGATCATTTTTTTTTTGTTACAAGGAGGTCACAATTACTATTAGTCAATAGATGTCAATTTAAATGGCTAGTGGTTTGTTACAAAGTTTAAAAAAGATTTTTTGAACTTTTGAATTTAGTCAATGACACACAATTGCCTAATTGAAATTTAAAAGATGAAAGTGAATATGACTTTTTTGCATTAAAAACAAGAGAAATGACTTTGTAAGACCCTCCTACACCCATATGCGTAGGACCTCAAAAGATCATCATTAAATTTGGTACAGATCTCTCGAAAATTTATCACATGAATGAGAGACTTGACTTTTATAGATATCTGTCTCAAATTTAATAGTGATCCTTTGAGGTCCTACACACATAGATGTGTGAGGGTCTCATAGGATCATTACTCTAATAATAAATACTCTTTAGAATACTTTTTCTTATTTTTACTCATAGGCAGTCAAAGGGAAATATTCATCCCTTCAACATTGGGAAAAAGAAATTGGCCCTCCACTTTATGTTTTTATGTAATCATCCTAGAAGGTCTTATGGCATAAGCTAATCCGTGCAACTAGTTTTCTTTTGACCTTTTCTTGGTGACGATTTTTTCTTTATAAAAGGGAAATAATGTAACTACTTTCATAGCAATCACATTTATCCCATATTAATTGCCTTTTTTTTTTTTTAAGTAACTTGTAGAGAATCACTATTTTAGAGCACAATACTTAAACTCCAAAATACTTAAGAAACAATATGAAAATCTATTTTTTTACCTAATTATAAAATTTTAAAATCCAACAATGATTAGAATCAAGTAGATCTATAAATATATGAGAATCTTGAAATGGTCGGTCTAGATAATGTGCTGCAAAATGCACTACTTTTGGGACTCGAAATCTTTTTATTTATTTATTTATTTATATTCATACATCTCAATGTCGAGATGATCCATTAGAGGGTTTTTCAAAATTAAAATAATATTTTCCAATAGATTTTTGACACACATTTTTAATTCTACATTTTAAGGTTGCAACCTGACATAAACTTTTTCCATAAAATAATGGATCTAATTTTATTGTATAACCACACAATTTTTCTTATTCTTGCACCCATGTTTTGGGTGGAATCTTAAAATAGCATGGGCGGAGTGTTTCTTCTCATACATGTTGGGCTGGGAATCAATGTTTCGGGCCTGACCCAGGCCGAGCAGGTCTCCGGATCAAGGCTCAGCCCAGATCAACCTTCCCCGAGCCTGGCCCGGCCTGGCACTCTTGTACCCCCACGCAGATATTTCTCTCGCATTCTGTCTCCTCTCACTCTCTTTCCACAAAGCCAATAAGACCATTTTTATACCTTCTATTTCCTTTCAGATCTCTAGTAAATCTGGTTTTCCTCTATATCCCCACATCTTTCATGGCAGGTGCACCACATTTGAGGCTCTCTCTGCATTTGTATGGAAAGCGAGAACCAGGGCCCTCCAGCTCCGACCAGATCAACGGACCAAACTTCTCTTTGCAGTTGATGGACGGTCCAGATTCGTTCCCCCACTCCCCAAAGGATACTTTGGGAATGGAATTGTGCTCACAAACTCAGCATGCAATGCTGGAGAAATTCTAGAGAACCCATTATCATTCACTGTTGAATTGGTCCAAAAGGCAGTGGATATGGTTACTGATAGTTGTATGAGATCAGCCATTGATTACTTTGAAGTAACAAGAGCTAGGCCTTCTCTCACAGCCACTCTTCTTATTACTACATGGTCTAGACTTTCATTTCACACTACTGATTTTGGTTGGGGTGAGCCCCAACAATCAGGGCCGGTGACTTTGCCTGAAAAGGAAGTGATACTGTTTCTCTCTCATGGTAGAGAGAGAAAGAGCATTAACGTTCTACTGGGTTTGCCTGCCTCTGCAATGAAGACCTTCCAAGACTTGATGCTAATGTAGATTGGGATTCAATGTTGGTTATTTAGGGTCTCTTTTAGGAGTTTGGATATTGGAGTGAGTGTGCTGCTTTATGTTCTAGTTTATATAGAGCTTCTCTCTTTCTATTTCTACACTTTCTTCTTATTCTCTTTATTTGGTTTTGGGTAATTCAGTGGGATCTTATTTTTCTCTTTATTTGGTTTTGGGTAATTCAGTGGGACTTTTTTTTTCTCTTTATTTGGTTTTGGGTAATTAAGTGGGGAAGACAGGCCCCTCCCCATTTTTTTAAATAGTTTCGGACTCGGTTATTTGAAGGTATTGGTCGGGTGACATGGGTACGGTGATGTCGTAGGAATGGAAACCACAAGGTGCGGAGATGTTATAACCACTTTGGTTTTATACACCGGTTGTATATGGATTCCATATTTATGGCAAAATAAGATTAATTTTTTACCTGAATGGTTAGTAGATAATATTCATGAATGCAAATTAAACATTGACCACATCCCAATTAATTTCCACAACATTCTTCACGAGGCATTTGAATAATTTCCAATTTTCAATACCAAAAGTTCGGAAAATTTTTCTTGTTATCCCTAGCTTTACCTCATTTTTTGGAAAAAGATCTTTCAAATAAAGAATAATAATCCTATAGGACTTTTCCCCATTCATGTGTGTAGGATCTCAAAAGATCATCATTAAATTTAACACGGATCTCTAAAAAAATTATCATATGGTTGTAGAGCTTGACTTTTCTAGAGATCTGTGCCAAATTTAACGATGATTCTTTGGAATCCTATAATCATGAATAGAGGATGTCCAATATGATCATTTCTGTCAAATAAATAGGCAGAAAAATTATTCTCTAAAAATAAATCTTCGTCACTCCTAATGAGTCCTAATGATGTCTCACTCCTACAAGTCTCATGCCCTTTCGCTCTCCCCGTTCTATTGATCACCTCTCTCTCCTTAAATTTTCCAGAAATTTTATCCAGGGTGCCAAACACTCTTGAAATTAAACACGAAAACTAGAACCCTGCATTCAGAGGTGGCAATGGACCCGATCGACCCAGGACCTGATGGGTAGACCTAACCTTAGCTCCAGAGATGAGTCCAAATTTTGGACCTGAAAAATTACGTTCGGGTCCAAAACCTAGATGCAAATACGATTTGGGTCCTGCTTTGTGTCAAGCCAAACCCAACCCGAATGATATACCGTATATATGGGTATTCATAAATGTTATCAATACATTTGTTTCTTAGGAATTTTCATTGCCAATAAAATGTAATACGAGTATATGATAGTATAAATAAAATAAATAAAATAAAATAAAATTAAAAGAGAAGCTTATAGTTATAGAGTGACAATGGACCTGACTAGATTCGAGACCCACCGATAGACCGGACCTGGGGTCCAAATTTGAGTCTAAATTTTGGACCCAAAAAGCTGCATCCCAGTCCTACTTGGTAACATAAGTTTTATGCATCTCTGTCTCTACCTTATACAATTGCAATGGCATCATCGTCTGATATCACCACGCACATGCTATTGCTTGAGCCACCCTAAGTTAGGTCTCCTCCGTGACATCTACCAAGCTAAAACCGGCAAAAAGTGCGTTGCAAGTTTGTGAGGTTATTCATGTCTTGCCACCAGTTTCATGTGACATATTCTTCTAACAACGTGCAAAGAGAGAACGAAAAAGTCTTGGGCATTAAGACCGAGTTTGGAAACCCTAGTATCCAGATACAAATCATAGGCCATTCTAGGATTTCAGAACCTAGATCCATGGGTGAATCGTTCACGCATAAATCCGTAGTGGATAGTTAGATTGACGATGCAAATTGGGGTCTAAAACGATCTGAATCAGTCATCTAAAAAATATTGAAAAATAAATGAAACAACGTAAAAATTAAAGGGTTTATAGAGTGTGGAATTGGGTAATGACAGATCTCTTTTCATGTGGATCAATTATTTTATCAATAATATCTAGGATGAAATTATCTTCTTGTGTAAGTGTGTGTACATTATGTGTTGGTATTGGGCAACTACAATCACCATCTTTTGAGCTGGATGATTGTGTTCCTAAAGCAGTAGTGGAGTCAGAGGAGTCTGTCCACATGAGATCTTCATCTTGTATTTGATCAATATAAGAATTAGAAGAAGTGGATGATGAGGAATCATAATCAAATATGTGATATAATTTGGATTTTATTGATTCATCTAAATTTAATGATTCTATCTTCTTTTTTAACTTACATTGATGTTTATAATGTCCTACTTTGCCACACTTATAACAAACTGGTAATTTTCTCTTTTTCTTTGTATTAGGGGAAAATTTATTGATTAGTTTTCTTTTAGATTTTTTATAGTACCTTTTGTCTTTATCCTTTCTTTTGGATTTATATTTTTCTTTTTTGTATTTTTTCTTTTTCTTATAGAGTTTGTCAGGCATATTGTTTTTGTCAAGGTAATATCCGAATTGTTCACAGAAGTCACCAAGCTCTTTTCGCTTAGTGATCTTTTGTTTATCTAATTGTCTTTTTAATTTCATATATGTGCACAAGGCTAGGCCTTCAGCACATATTTCTGCAGAGAGTTCTCCGAGTGTATAGGATGAATAGACAATTATTCCATTATGTTTTCTCCTTAGTCTTTCCTTGACTTTTTCAGCGAATAAATATGGTAGACCAGCTATAAACTTTTTTTTCCAATGGTCTAGCTGACAATCTTCTCGTATTAATAATCTTGAGAAAAATACATCTTTATACCATTTATAATGTGATAAGGTAGGACAGCGTAAATTAGATAGCAAGTCTTCCAATCTTGCTGCAAGTAAAGCTGTACTTCCTACAAAATGGAGTGTAATGGTATATATTAAGGTGTTGACTGCATCACTTTCTGTATATAATATTTCTTGGTTCTGTTCATTTTTGGCTGTCCATTGCCTTGTATTATTGAGGATTCGGTGTTTAGTTTCATCATCTACGTAGAAATCCCACCATCCTCGTAACCAGCTAGTAAATCCATTTACTATTGCTTTTGCAACCTCTTGATCAGGGTTGCCTGCCATTTTATTTGCAGATGCATACATAGCCATATGTCTCATAACATCCAATATTTTTAATTCTGATAGTCCATCTATTTGCCAATTTACTATTGACCTACCTGAATATGATACTACCTGTTGGATGGCATCTTCTTCCATTTGGATATCAACAGGTGTAGGTCTCTTATGATATGGTAAGGCTGTTACTGGTTTCCAGTATTTACCATAAGCTATTCCATTTATGGTTTCTGTGATAGGAGTGGTATCCATAAATGCTTTTTCCTGATTTTGAATTGTATCTTCTATGATTGGTTCTTCCTCTTGAAGCATCATTGTTTCATGTTCAGGTATTTTTGCTTTACCTTTATCGGAGGATTCAAGTGGTATATTGGTAATGGGTGAAGGAGGAATAGTTATTGTTGGAGAAGGAATTCCCTTAATATCTAGTTGGGATAATTTTGATATCAATTGATCCATAAGGGATTTATTAATGTCTCCAATATGAAATTTATTTTTATTCAGTTCTGGAGGTGGTTTGAACAAAACTGATTTAGGTATTATTGTAGCAGAAGGTTGTTCTTTAGAAACAAGTCTTTCAATCCTTTCTGCTTGTTTTCCTAAAGATTGCATATACAGATTGGTATAATTATTCTGTTCTACAATATGTGGTATTAACTCTTGTTTCTTCCCAAGTTCTTTAGGTAAGATTTTATAGGGAGTAGCTATTATATCATATAAGGATGGAGGTTGAGTTGGCTCATCCTTTTCAGGGACTTTTGTTTTAAGTATGATACTTTTTTCAGGTGGATGGGTACTAGCGGTGGTAGTACCATTAGTGCTGAGATAGGTTTTCGCTTCTATTGTTTGAATCTCATCAAAGGAGGAAGGAATATGAAGTTTATGTTGATATTTTCTTATTAACCATAAAAAATATCCTTCTGTTTCCCTTTCCTTTTTAAGGAATTTATTATATTGATCTTGTAATTTTTCTCTTAAGGGTAATGGTACATTTGTTAGATACCATTGTCTGATATGTCTATTTTCATTTGACATAAAATCTTGTTTAATATAATTTTGATCAATTTTTTTCTTTTTTCTTTCTAATTTTGCAGCTAAATAAGCTGCTATATATTCATCTGAATATTGATCATGTGAATTGTCATATTCTTCTACCTGTAAGGTTAATATTTGAAAGTCTTATAATTCTTCTATACTAGGTTCAATAGTATTGGTAGTACTAGATTCAAGATTATAGGTGGGAATAACAACATGATCTGTTGTTCTCCGTATTCCTTGAAATTGTAGGTCTAAACTAGGTATTGAAGAAGACTGAGTAGGAGGTGGTAATATAATAACATTTGGATCAGTAGAGTAAGATTTTCTTGAACTTGTATTTGTTGAAATTTAATTTCAATATTACCATCAGTATGTTCTATGATTTGATTAGGAATATGATGTTGAGGAACATCTTGAGGTTGATTGGCAATTTGTAATGCCCATGACTGTGGTAGTCTGATATCTGACCATTTTATAGTTTTAGGTACAATCATATTTGATTTTTCCATATTTGTTTGGAATAAAATGGTTTGATCTTTTTGATCAATTTGCATAATATTTGGACATAAGGTATTCATGACTTTGTAGTATATTCTATAAACTATTGCTAAATTTTGAGATCCTTGGGTCATATGGAATCCATGTGTTTTTAAATTAATTGTTAATATATCTAATATATTTGGATCAGTTAAAGAAACAGAAAAATTTGGAAAACAGTTAAAATATATAGGACCACTACAAAGGCTGGATTCGACCATGCCAAGTAGCGAGTCTGTGAATATATTATGTCTTGTATCTCTTAGGCATACAAGCACAGAAGTGTTCAACCCTAGGCGGGTCAAAGGTTTTACGGCTATTTGAATTAATCCAATATGTAAATATTTGTAATTATTTTCCTTTTATTTTTCAATTATTTTCTTTGACAGTAAATGAAAGTCTTCTTGATTTTGAGTGACTGATAAACTTTCTTCTACAGTCTTGATGGCATAACCCATCTTGAATCGGAATGATCCTTTATTATAAATG